GAGTAAAACGGGGCACATAGAACGTAGTCCTATATGTCATTTGATGGAGTGAGCTATAGCAACATGAATAGATTAAAAGGGGGAGAGGATTGGTTAACATATTGAGTAATTTTCAGAGAGCAAAGGCATTTTCTTGGTTCTTTTCTATATTTTATTCTTGTATTTTTGGAATCAGAAAAAGATATTAATGATGTTAGTAATTTTCAAAAACTGCTTTGCAGAAAGCCCCCTTGCCCGTGTCTGGGGCCATTGGAAGTGCTGTTGGTTTTTGCGGTCTTGGTCTGGCCTGCTTGTGGACAGGCAGGAGGCGGCTTAGCAAGGCTGCGTGCTTAGAAAAGTTGGCAGATAGTCTGGTTTTTATGATTTTTATAATTACTAGCTGTAATTATAAGTTACCTAAAACCTATCCAAGCCTTAAAAATAATGAGCCAGGGCCGGCCCGTGGCTTAGTGGTTAAGTGCGCACGCTCCACTACTGGCGGCCTGGGTTTGGATCCTGGGCACGCATTGACGCGCCGCTTGTCCGGCCATGCTGAGCCCGCGTCCCACATACAGCAACTAGAAGGATGTGCAACTATGACATACAACTATCTACCGGGGCTTTGGGGAAAAAAAAAAAAAAGGAGGAGGATTGGCAATAGATGTGAGCTCAGAGCTGGTCTTCCTCAGCAAAAAGAGGAGGATTAGCACGGGTGTTAGCTCAGGGCTGATCTTCCTCACAAAAAAAAAAAAAAAAAAGAGCCAGAGGGAACCAGAAGATTCATGTTTGGGTTCTGGCTATGTGCTTGCTAGCTTGGTGATGCTGGGCAGATCCCTTGGCCTGACCGCCTTGATTCCTGTTTCCACCTTGCAGGATGGTTTCGGGTATTATATTAATCGGCTCAGGCTGCCGTAACAAAGTACTACAGACTGAATTAACAGACATTTATTTCTCGCAGTTCTGGAGGTTGGAAGTCCCAGATCATAGTGTGAGCAGATTCAGTTTCTCCTGAGGCCTCTCTCCCTGGCTTGTAGACAGCCCCCTTCTTGCTGTGTCCTCATGTGGCCTTTTCTGTGCGCCTGCAGAGAGCAAGCTCGTATAGAGGTGTCCTCCTCTTACAGGACACGGATCCCATCAGATCAGTGCCCCACGCTTAGGACCTCATTCAAGCTTAATTACCCCCCTAAAGGCTCCATCTCCAAATACAGTCACATTGGGGGTTAGGCTTTCAACATAGGAATTTGAGGGAACACAATTCAGGCCATACAAGTATTGAAAGCAGAGTTGTAAATTAAAAAGCATTGGACAAAGGTGAGATTCTGTTGCTGTTCTCTCCTCAAAGCTTGGCACTGCCTTCAGTTTATAACACAGGGACTCAATCAGGTGTGAAGTTTGTTGACAAGAATAAAGTACAGAATTCTATTTATTTATTTATTTATTTTATTATTTTTTTTTTTTTGAGGAAGATCAGCCCTGAGCTAACATCCATGCTAATCCTCCTCTTTTTGCTGAGGAAGACCGGCTCTGAGCTAACATCTAT